TGGGGGTTTTCCATTGCACGACCTCCCGCTTGCGGGCATCCGGGAAGGGGTATTTTCGCTTTGGTGAGGTTGTTGGTTGGGGAATTGGGCGCGGATTATTGGCCTGTTCGCCCCCGGATGGGCATATTGCGCTAAGGTTGGCCGCGGATGGGGGGCATAGGGGAGGTGGTGGAGTATTTGCCCGTGAGGAGGGGTGGTGCGTGGAAGAGGTGGAGGGTGCATCATGCTGGGGGCGGTGGCGAGGGCGAAAAGGGCGGTGGTGAGGGTGGGTTGGTTTGGGACGGTGCTGGTGTGGTATGTGCCGAGGTTCTTGGTGTGGGATGCGCCGAAGCATGTCGTGGTTAAGCCGCTGGGGAAGGGGTGCAAGTATTGTTGGGAGAATAAGCACAAGTTTGGCGGGTGGTGTAAGAGGCAGGCGGTGGAATTCCCGGGTAGGGCGAAGAAGGCGGGCAAGGCGGCCTGGGAGAGCGCGAAGAAGGCGCCGAAGGATGTGTGGCGGGCTGTCAAGGCGACTCCCGGGGTGGTCAAGAAGTTGTTGAAGCGGCTGTGGGAGATCATGACCAAGATCCCGGCGGCCATGAAGAAGCTTTGTGTGTGGCTGTGGGAGAGCCTGAAGCGGGTTGGGAAGGCGGTTGGAGACGTCTTCTTGCGTGTCGTGGCGGTACTGCACACGGCCGTCGCCGCCGTGCTCGACTTCTTCAAGAACATCAAGCTCAAGGATGTGTGGAACGGGGTCTGCGATATTGCCCAGGCCATCTTCCGCGGTCTGCCACGCGCGATGTGGAAGGTCGTTTCGTCACTTGGGATTGTCGTGGCCGGCATCATCATCGGCATCTTTGGGTTGACGGGGAAGCTCATCGTGTTCCTTTTTGAGGCGTTGTGGTATGTTGCCAAGTACGTACCGCGGCAGCTCGGGGTTATCATTTCGGGGATATGGGCGTCCATCGCGAAGGGGTATCATGAGATTATGGTTTGGATTAACCCCAAGCATTAGTCTAGTGTGTTCTGTTGCTTTGGGATTTAGTGGGCTGTTAGTGAATACCCATAGACCAGTTGGATCTTGTCGAGCCTATAGTTAGTCGTATTTTACCGTTATAATCATTCCGTTTAAACAAGAAAAACCCCTAAGTGGGTTACTGATATCCTCATATGATGGCTCATGCCCCAAGGTACCAGTAGATTTACCGGAGAGAAAGTATGGTATGTATAGCACCTCCATATGCACAGAGACTCTAACAAACAGTTCCAAACGAACTTGAAGTTCCACAAACTTGAACCTGAGCATGAAGCTGTCCTTTGCCGGAAGTGTTAAGGAAGCGCCGTCCACGACGATCAAGCAAGTGGAAGGAAGCTAGTGAGAGAACGGTATGCGATGAGTATGAGCCGGAGTACCCAGAGCGCTGGTCTGTAGGAGACGATGCAATGAGAACTAGGTATGACATGGGGAATGGCCGATGAGGAGTATGCATGATTCTGATCATGTCGTCAACTGACGCAAGGTTTACAGGTTTCGCCATCTCTAGCCGCAGTGAACATTACCGACGAAATTCTTTCTGCATCGAGCCTAAACCGATGCCCTGCATGGGGGGTTCCATAGGAATTACAGCTTGTCCGCTTCCTCACACCCTCACATTTCAGAACGTGGCGAAGCGAGACAAGGTGTGTAGGGTATTATGCTATATCTCTACAAACCCGTTCGAGGTCAGGCCCACCTAACCACCACACGGCAGTCCAGGCCGTGAATATCTCCACCCAGGTTCCTTCCTTGAAGCCCATCCCGATCCCATTCCTCCCAACGGCTCCAAAGCCACGCTCTCCCCATCTAGAATGTAGACAAAGGGTTCCCAAGAACCGACACGAAAAGGGATATAAAAGGCTACCGCAGAAAAATAAAATAAAATGAGAATGAGCCAGATGGCGGTGAAGGAAGGTGTAAGTAAAAGATATCCAATCATCCAGACAGATAGAAAGGGTAAGAATAATAGACGAAAATGGTATCTCCACCCCACCACAAGGCTATATTCCCCGCCCCGTTCCATTTCCATTCCTTTTTTCCCATCACTCAACTCCCGATGTGTGTTCGTGCCCAATGTCCGTTGTGTCCCAGAGGCGGCCGGCCGAAAACCGCCGACCAAGTGTGACCGGCTGACCACGTCCAAAACAAAAGAACCTCCCTTGCATCTGGATATCCCCATCCTTCTCCACGCACATGAAAGAGAAAAAGAAAAAAGGAAAAAGCAAAACTGCACCCTTCCCAAGAGGAAAGGGGCGTCCGAAGCAAACTCGGAGGTAAACACGCTCCAGCCCTAGACGAACAAGTGGAAGAAGAGAAACAAGAGTAAGTCGCTTTTAGGGGCTCTCTGGTATTAATCGAGACGCGCACACAGACCAGACAAAACTGGATAAAAAAAGAGTCAGGTAGACCAGGACAGGATGCCACTGCCAGTGATTCGGCGGTGATGAAACAAATGAGATCGTAGTTGTAGGAGACGTGGGCGACAACGCCGTGTCAAGAGCCCTTTGTATTTTAAACCTGGGTTGAGTAAAGTTCGAGAAGCCCGTGTGTGTATGGGCAGATAACAGTGTTGAAGTCGGTATCGAGCTGTGGCCAATCTTTTCGGCCAAGATATGTGTTGCGAGGTTATAGCCCTCGTTTGGGCCCTCGAGAAGGTGATATGGGCGAGTTGCCAATTCTAGGAGTTGGTTTCCGGGGGGTTAAACACCGGGTGGAGGGTTGCGGGGTATATACCATCGAATTCGAAGCCAGAGCAACGCTTGTATCCTCTGCCATCCTGAGGCAAGGCTATTGCGCCTGTCATATGTTGGACACTTTAAGAGCCCGGATCTCGGTGCGGCGACGATTGCGACATTACATGCCTCGTGTTCTCCAGAGATGGCCACCTAAAACCTGGTGGGCTCGGCGGGCCGGTAGCCGTTGACCCTCGGCGGCTCATACTGTACCCCCGTCATCGATTCGGGTCCTTGGGGTGGCCCCGTGGGTGACTGCAGTGACCGGAGCGGCGGGAGCTCTGGGCGGGCGTGGCCGACCGTACTGGTCTTGGGCGTATGGATCTGCCACCGGGCCGCGACTGCGGCGCCCCGTGCATCCGTTCTAGATCCCGCCGCAGCAGGTCGATCTCGTTCTGCTGCGTCGCGTTGATGCTTTGGAGTGCGATCAGTCGCTTTGGCGTGATGCTCGCGATAGCTTGCGTATTGTCAGTCTCGGTGAAACACCATGGTGGAATGTCTTAGGGGATTAACTGACCTTTGGTCAGAATTTCCCATTTGGAAGCCTTCGAGCCCCTCTCCTGGGGCATCAGGTCTCTCAATTGGTCAAAGAGCTCCTTCATCTCTGTTCTCCGCTTCCTTTCGGCTAGCTTATGGCTCACACGGAGTTCCGGCGTTCGGCTGTAAGGCTGAGCCCCAGCATGGGCGGCCGCCTCCTCGTTTCGCAGATCATCCAGCTGCTTGTGCTGGAGGCTGTGATGGTGCACCGTCGAGTATTCGCCCGATGCGTTGGACAATCTTTGGTAAGGGTTGACGGTCTCTTCTAGCCGTCTTTGGCCGGGCGGAAGCCTAGACTCGGTTGTATATTGGCTGCTGGCAAATGACTCGGCGAGGCTGCTTCTCCTCGAGCCGGCCAGCGACCCATTGGCACCATTGGTAGCCGGCGGCACCCTCTGGCTATCTTCTTCCGGGAACGCCCAGGCTTGACCTTTGGTTGGCTCGGCGGCGCGGGCGATGTGGCCTGTGGCGGGCCCTGTAATGGCCGGGGCGATTCTCATGGTCTTCGGGATGACCTTCCGGGGTACGCTGGTTGTTCGGCTGGTACCCGTTCGAGATACGGTGGACGGGCAGGGTGTCGAGACCGGCCCGCAGGTTTCTTTGCTGCTGCAAGGGTTGTGTGGATAGAAGTTGTGGACGGATTGTGGCTAGCGTAGGGCGAATTACCCAGCCTCATGTCGTTGAAGCCCTGGTTGATCCTGCTGTCTACGCTCTCCCTCCTCGACAAAGCCTCCGGAACATCCCCAGTCGCGAAGCCGGCACTGTTTGGCGCCGAGTCGAGCGACTGCGTCCGGTCGAAGGCGACGAGGGTCCGCGCTCCCTTGGTGACGTCGGCGAAACCATTGGACGCCCACCGCTCATGTTGCCATTGCTAGCTGTCGGCGATATAAGCGATTGTGACAGGTGATGCGACGTCGTGGTCGGAGACGGTGTTTTATCGACGGGGGACGGCTGGAAGCCTGAATGTGGGGGGCTCAGCACGCCCATACCTGACGCAGCTGAGGTGTCTGCAACACGTTTTTGAGTAAGCCAATTGGTTCACGAGACGCCATCAAGAGATTCCGGGAGATCGCACGTTTACTCGATGCGTCAGTACTGGAGAAATACGCCGAGTCGCGGTGCTCCTCGGGCGAGTTCAGGACGCCAGCCAGCCCAGCTGGGAATTTCTGGGAAAGGGGCCGTTGCTGGTCCATGGTTGCATCTAAGAGGCAATATTAGGGTGGAAACTGCCCAACGAACCCGTCGTGGATGCCGGGTCACGGGAGGCGGTTTCTGAAAGCCCCAACAAGTTTCGATAACGCGGTCGTTCGCGATTCGAGACCGAAGAAGAAAAAAAGGACGGAAGCGAAAGAAGACGTAGGTATGCAGGGCGTTTGTTTCGAGTCGGTGGTAGAGTTGACTTTTGAACGGCAAGCCCCGCGAAAGACCAATGGGCTGTCGGGGCCGCAGTCCCGTCGGGAATGAAGCTGGATGAAATGCCGGCGCTAGATGGGCACCTAAGAACTTAAAAAGAGAGAGTTGATGGAAGGGGGGGTTCGAACGGATGTCGGGTGACTTGCGGAGTCGGGGATGAGCTCAAGTTCGCATCACCATGTCTGGAGGTAAGGTAGGTAGGGTGGAGGGTGTGGGTTGGTTGGGGGGCAGATGCGATCTCGAAAAGCGTGGTCGGGACTGGGGCGGATGGCGACAAGCGGCAATGCCTCGAAGCGTGGACGGGCCAGCACGTTTTTCAAAGCAGCCAGCATCTGGTGCAGAGTGGAAAGCTGGGGCGGGTGCGCGCGTGGGTGGAGCGCGAGGGCCCAAAGGGGTGTGCGGCATTGGCTGGCATGGGGTGGAATTGATGGGCCCACCGAGCCTACCTCAAAAGATGGGTCCTCTTCAGCCACATGGTGTCTTCCGTGCGCTGGGTTCCCGGTACGTCGCACAGCACAGATGCTGCGTTCCAGCGTGCGGTCCCCATTGGATCGAGTGTGCCATGGAACCCACACGGTCTGAAGAGGTACCTCTTGTCCACGACTGCATTAGGCCCTAACCGCCCAGCCGAAAACGGCAGGAGCTCAAGTCACAGAGCCAAGGCGGCCACCAAGGCGTGCAGGGACCTGGGATGACCTTACACGAGCAGGAGGAGGTTGCGACCCGTCGTGGGCTCGCGTTCCACCTCCCGGCGGGTTTGCAGCTCCGGACGACAACTCCATCAGATACTCCATCAGATACTCCAAGTTCCGTCGAGCCGGCGCGCTCAACCTCTCCGAGAGCCCCGAGCCCGACGGGTTCCCGCCGGTATACACTCGATACTTAACATACATGCACATAGTGGTTGCACTTTTTCGGCCTGTTGCAGGAATGCTGCTGTTGTCGTGCAGTGTGTGGGGGTTGCAGCGACATGATGGTGGCCTCGGTGGGTGCCCTGGGCTGCCCGGGCTTAGGTCCATACCTAGGGCTCAACCATCCCTTTTTGAGTTCGGCTGTTTTCCGTCCAGTGCTGGTCAGTTATCGCCTGTCGCGAGTTGACCCGTGCGCCTTACATAGTACTAGGTAGTTCCTGGTATACTGTGTACCGAGTTATGCGAAGAGATTGCCACGATTGCCTCGTGCAAGGAGATGACTGGAGGTCAGCGATCCCGACTTTTAGGTGACACGGCTCACCCGGCTTCCCTCACTCCCTAACCTGACAGGCGTCAAGTGTTGCGGGATAAGACCCGAGGTAGGAAGGCAAAGCAGACGACGACAGGATGGCCGAGCACCCATGAGCTAAGAAAGCTGAACTCCAAACTGAGGTACTGAATATCGATCAACCCTTCGACAAAACGAAAGTCTTTTGGGAGCCCAAGAACCTGTAGTCACTCCACCAATTTTTCATCTCTTTCCTTCCATTTCTTCATTCGTTTTCTTCTTTTTTGCTTGGTATCCGTTACCCTTTTCTCTTTTCCTCTTGCCTTCTTTGCTTTCGAGCTCGGCGTGTTTAGTCAGAGGATGCGGAGCGAGCTCAAGCTTTTCGAAGGTGGAAGTGACTGCGGGATACAGTGCGTATATTCAAAGCTTGAGACTGTGCTGATCCGAGGCGATGGCATCAACGCAACACCGATCCTGTGATACAAAAGAATATGGATTCCGGCATGTGCCCTGCTACACGTGTAATAAAAGGACGGAATGCGACGTCGACCGACAAGCTGCGAAAAATGTTGACCGCAGTTCGCAGGGGCAGTCTTCCTTTTTCCTTTCGCGATCTTGCGAAACCGAGAGCAAAATATGGATGGTCTGCGGAGCATGGCGGTAGAAGAACAACCTAGAATTGTGATCATGATGCGGGGTAGTACATGGCCGACAGCGGGTACACCTCCTGCAGTAATTTTTGTGTAATCGTTTAAAGGACGTCAAAATCGAATTCTTGCAGACCCATACTGAATTACAGGCGTCAGTCAGTTTCTAGATCGTTGGCTGTTGTTATCTGCGAAACGGGCTGAATGGCGGCTCAGATTTGCGCCGCTTTCCCCCTTCGTGGACCATGAGATGACTTCCGGCTCAAAATTTAACGTGTCCGCGACGCCGAAAAGCCAATGGGATAAACTAGGCATCTCTCCGCGTTAGCATTTTCGATGAGTCTTTGGCCCTTGCAGGGTCGCTTTTTTGGTTCGGGGTCGGGCCGGCATTCAGATCGGCTGACGCGGACACTGGCTGGCAGCAAGAGGACCGTCTTTATTTAGGGATGACATCGTCCGCAGGTTGTGGCTTTCTCAATGTCAGACGGAACCGATATTTCCCATTGTCGTCAAATCTCGCGACTACCTGCGACCCATCCGTTGAGGCCCGGCCAGTTGGGAGGCCAGGATAGGTCGGAGAGACGAGGCTGTTGCCCACCTGTCATCATGGCATTCATTAACTACCTTACTGTGTATGGGCCGCTCGGCAAATGCCGTACGAGACGGGTTCGCAGCAGGTCGTTGTTATCTCCTGGAGCGGCACAGGACGCACGTAACGTTAACGTTGTCGAAGTGAATTTGACAGGCGGCGGTCTTTCCTCAGATATTCCCCGAAAGTCGGTGGTGGTTTTCGTGACCGAGAAGGGATCGGGAAGGACCGAGGTCCCGCCTTAGAGCGAAATCCTTCGCCCGTCGATTCCGGGCGCTCTTGAAGCGACGCAAGGTACCCGGTACATTTTGCCGATGTTCCCTCGCCGCATGGGAAGGGTTGCTGGCGATCCGGGGATGCAAAATTCGCACTAGCGCCGAGTGACAACAGATCTCGACCCCACATATGCCCACAGAACACGCTCACATTCCACATTTTTCCTGCCGAGAGACGATTGGCGCGGCACGTGTCGTCGATGTGCCATGCCAATGCCCAAATTTCGGCCAAATCTCGACAACCCTGGCCGGGCCAAGTTCCAGGGGAGCATGGCAGATCGCCCCACCCCCCTGTCTCGCACGTTTCTTGTGTTGATTGTGGATTTCTCGGATTTGAGTGGATGCTGAGAGCTGAGAACAGAAGGCGCGGGGATGGATGGAGTGGAGCGAGTTGGGAAAGTTAAACGCTACCTACGGTACCTGCTGTGTAAGTTAACAAGCTCGGCAAGGAAACAATCTGAATAATCCAGACTAACATCATACTTGTGTCTACCCTACAGATCCGGCACATTTCACGATCCCGAAACGAACCCCGAGTCGGTTAATTATAGCGGCTCGTCACAGCACGCGCATGGCGACCTCGCCCCTCCCTGGCAGGTTTGGTTCAGCCGCTGCTGAAGCCTGTAACCAACAACCGCCAACGAGTGGAAGCTGGGGGCCGCCACCGAGCTAACATTGAAAACTTACCTAATCGGAAGTACCACACGAGCACGAGCACGGGCATTCTGAACTCGCCTCTTTTAACCCGACAAGATAAATAAAGATGTAGTAAGAAACCGGTGCGGCCGTTGCGCGCCCAAGCGCCGCAGAGAGGCTCGAGTTCGCACACGGTCGTTGTCTCAGCGCTCTGTCCGTCGACTCGGTCGGCTTCGGGATGGCGTGCTGCTGATTGTCTCTGCAAGGCAGGTAGGCAGGTTTTGTGGCGCAGGTGTGCTCGGGTCTGGCGACTCTCCACCTCAACCCAGTTCAGCTTGTTAGAGAGCCATAAAAAGCAGCTTCATGACAACCTCAGGGCCTCCTGGATTGGTAACGCTAATAATAACTACGTAGGGAGTTACAAAGTAAGAGCTGTCTGTTCACAACGGCAATACCCTACCAACAACACCTACAGCACGACTCCCGCTTGTCACAAAAAGCCCCTTTGTGGTTGCGGGAAACGCCGCTGCAAGATCTGGCCTGGGGTTAGGCTCTGGTTCAACCTCCAGAGAAGCAAGCAGGCCATCGAGACTAGCCCATAGCAGTCATCGCCGCTGTCCTCCCTTAACTCTTCGCCCCCGCCGGCCGAGACGCAAAGGGAGGCAACCACGCTTCGGGCCCCCTTGTTCCTGCACGAGTTAACGTTGAACAGCACATCCGTGCGATTCTACCACAGAGTCCCCGGCGGAGATCGTGGCCGCAACCAATCGCTAACTCAGCCGGCTGTCTGCGTCTCCGGAGACCCCTTCTCGTGGGGGCTTCTCGTGCTCAAGGCACTATTGTATGTATTCCGCCTTGCCTGCATCGGCTGCACCGCGGATCTTCCCCGGAGTCTCACCGGGAGCCGGGGCCGACTGGTGGGCCTAAGGCCCATGCTCTCCGCCGCTATGAGGCTGAGCAAGATCGATGCTGCACGGGGAGCATAACGTGCATGTTCAACCCGTCTCCCCGGCGCTTTCGACAGACTTTATCCACTAGTTCGTCGCCGGCTCCGACGTGACCTTTCTCGTCTCACCAGAGCCCTCTCCGGGCGGGAGGTCAAGGCGTTTCGGCCGAACAGCGTCGGTCATTGCGCCGGTGCTCCGGGAAAGGTTGCCCGCGCCGGACGACCAGCCACCCACCGCTAGCGTTAGTGGCGAGTTACCCCATTCACCCCCCGGGGTCTTGACCGTGCGAAAGTCTCACTAGTAATCTCTTTTGCGTCTTGTCCACAGAAGCCGGTTCCGCCGGCTGTGGTCTGGTGCACAGCAGGTGATCGGTCGCAACCTTCGTCTGATATTCTTTCCGCCGTAGTAGGACGAGATGCAGTATCACATTACTTGCATCTGGGAACACCGATTCGGGACGAGCCATGCGCACGCTGCATGCGCTAGTGATAGGGGACACCGTGCGCTTATACGCAGGGCCCTCCCCGATTCTCGTCGGGCGTCAGGGGTCGCAGCAGCAGTTGCTTTTGTCCGGCGTATTGGTGAAGTTGTTTTACTGTATTCGTTTTGAAGACGCCGGCAAGGTCTCCAATAACTCACACAGCAACTTAAGAAGCATTCTCCACACCCCTCGCTTCTTAGTGAGTCAGCCTCAGTGTATATATCACTTCTCCTGACCGGCCTGGGCGCCGAGCTGAGACTGCGCTGTCCCTCTTTCCCATTTTTTTTTTTTTCTTTTTCCTCTAACTAGCACTCTTCTCTAAGTTCGTTAGTTGGTGGCTGATCGATCGATACTTTTGCTTCCCACTGGTGGGCCGAGCCACCTGACCCTTTGCCGAGGACAATGACGGGAAAAAACCCACCCACACTCACCCACCACACTCACCCACCCACCAGAACACACAATGGCACACTGGCCCAACCCGCCGGGACAAGGTGGCGTCGATCTCGATTGCCCACTCCACGAACGCACATGACATCTCCCGTCCCACTCACCCACCCAAGACACGCAGAAACACACGAAGCACAACCACTAGAGCACAGCACCCAGGGACTGTACATCGGGGGTTGCTCCAAGCCGTGTGACGTTGCCATCATGTCTTGAATTGTTTGCCGCCACGGAAACCAGACCCCGCTGTCGGTGACACGGGCCCGTTGTCGAGGAGCGCCGTCCGTCCATCTAGGATCTTTGTCCTCGAGGGGTGAGGAGTGGTGTTCGTCCGTTTCCCGCCACCCGTGCGATCCAAGGTAACAGTAGCACCGCCTAATCTTGTCACAACCCAACCCACCCTTTTCCCTCCTCCCCCACTCTCTTTTTTTTTTTTTTTTTTGCTCTCCCTCCCTCCTACTCCGCCCACACCCACACAAACACGCATCTTGAGCCCAAAGTGGGGGTTTCGCGTTTGACTCTGTCTGTTTACCCCAGGAACACGGGGGCACGAGTACGGGACACGGGGCACGGGGGTAGGAACTTTTGGCTGGGTTCTCGGGCGTAAGACGGGAGGAAAGGCCCACGGTGCACGGGGGGTTCGGGAAGGTTGTTAAGCCGGCCGGCCGGCCGGACGGACGGACCCAGGGGACGGGGATTCTTGCCTCGTCGGACGGGGTGCCGAGCCAGTACGGCGGGACCGGGTCCGTTGCTTGGGATGGGTGGGGGTGTTTTGGCTGCGGATTCGATGGCGGGTGGTGGCGGGTGGTGGGATGTTGCCCCTGTGGGTAGGCGGTTACACGGCTGCTTAGTTGTCTGGTCTTGCGGGTTGAGGAGTGATCGGGGGTGATAGAACAACGCCCCTGTGGTGTTTGTGGTGGTGCTGTGTAGCAGCTCGGCGTAGGGTAGGTGGGTACGGCCGCGTGCGCGCGAGACAGCATGGGACCGTCACGGGTTGAGCGTCTCGGCTTTGGTCATGTCTCGGGAGCAAAGCAAACATGATCAGTGTGTGCTCTGCCGAGATATGTATGCCGGATCGAGTTAAAATCGAGGGACTTTCGCTCTTCGAAATTTGGTATCCGATTACAACCCTATAAAGTGGACAACCCGATTAGAGTGGCCAGCCCCTTGCCGAACGAGGAATAATACAGACAGAAAGGGGAGAGCACGTAGAAAAGCGAGGTGTCGGGGTGACTTTGCGGGCCCAGCAGTGAAAGGGATCATTGACTTTGCCCTGGTTATGAGGAGACTACTCAGTAGGACAGCATGAGATGCCGAGGAATGGAACACCCGAGATGTTGTTTCCAGGATCCAGGTGTAGAAAACAACTGAATAGGTAGCTCACCGTGCTTCGGTTACCTGTTATCGTCGACATCCCGACTACGGTGACTTGGTTGAAACCCTAGCGAATGTACTCTGCTCGACAGGTAACTTCCAGCTCAAGATAGATGTGTCGAGTCTTCCCTTTCTAGCCAAGGTAATGAGTCTCAATGGGGTCCTATAAAGAACTAGGTGCCTAAGTTCCAGCTAGCAATGTCAAAAAGCTAAAGAACAATAAAAATAACGAAGAGAAGGAGAAAAAGAACCTCTCAATTTCTGAGAGCCAACTCTGCGCCAAGAGGGAATCGAACCCCCCCCTCAACCTTGGAAGGGTTGAATCCTAACCACTAGACCATTGGCGCTAAGAGAATTGGACGAGCTGGGAATCGAACCCAGGACCTTTCGCATACTTGAAAGGCATGCTAAGCGAACGCTCTACCAACTGAGCCACACGCCCTTCAGGATTTGTTGAGTTTTTTTTCGGAGGAGGTGGGACATGTGAGCTGGCTCCGTTTGGGTTCCTCCGGCCTGGAAGCCTTGGTGGGGGCGGGGGCGGGCTTAAAACTGGGGCGGGCTTAAAAGTATTCTCAGGGCAGGGTCCGCTGTAAAGGGTGGAGTAAACCGGGCAGATAAGATAACACAGCGCGCCAGTGAGAGATCTTGGCAGGAAATTTCTCGCAAACCGCGAACACACGACCGACAAAAACCCATCCTGCAGCAGCCTCTTCTTCCAACGTTGTAATTCTTCAACTTGGATTTGTTCCGGCAAGTCCATTCCCGCCGTTCTAATCATAAATTTATCAAGATGTACGTGCAGAATACTCCCTTTATTGTATCATGCGGACACGAATTGATCTAGGATTAGGTATTCTCTCCGCCGCGCTGCTCTGAGGTCTGCCGTTTCGGCTTCGAGGTCCGTCTCGGCCACGACACGTTTCACTCCCATTGCTGCTCTGGCCAGCTCAGAATGCAATTCCTCGAAACTTGCCGCGCCCCAGGCGCTCCGGTTCTTTTCGCAGACCATCCGCAAGGCCTCTGAAGACAAGGATCTGGAGGACGCACAGCGCCGGTCCGAGCAGGAGGCTGCCGCTGAGGGTCAACAGGACCCTGAGGTAAGATTGTCAACCCAGACATATCATATCAAGACCGCTCAGACTGCTAACTATGCGCTTAGGAGTTTGTCAGACAGTCCGAGGTCGATGTCCAAGAGGCGAGCCAGGAGCCTACTCCCGAGCCGTTTACCCCCCCGCGCACTGGACGGATTCCTGGGACCCAGGATCGTAAGTCGCGAAGCAGCGCCATTTCCTGTATGAAACGATCGCTAACAATGATTCGGGACAGAGCAACATTCTGCCTTCATCCGCAACCTTGTGTTTGAGTTGACCGAGGAACACCTCGTCAAGGCCTTCGAGAAGTATGGTAAGGTCTCGGGCGCCTTCGTCGCGCGTGACCCTCGCGGTATGAGCAAAGGGTAAGTTTCAATCACTCAAACGCCGCCCGCGGCACCGCTCCCAAACAGCTGGCGGCTAACCTCGAGGTGTTTCATCCAGGTTCGGGTTCGTGTCCTTCGAGACGGCCGAGGAACTCCAGTTGGCTTGTGAGGCCGTCAACGGTTCATTCTGGCACGGCCGCCGCATCACTTGCATCCCCCGTACCGAGCAACGGGAGGGCCGGAGCAGGCACCGGAACTCGCCCTCCGAGCCAACTGCCCAACTCTTCATCGGCAACATCCCCTACGAGACTACCGACGCCGAGCTGAACCGGATCTTCCAGGGCATGGGCAACGTCAAGGATGTGCGGGTTGCCGTTGATCGTACCACGGGCTGGCCGCGCGGTTTCGCGCACGCCGATTTCCCCTCAGTCGAGGCGGCTATCGATGCGAAGCAGAGACTGGAGGGTGCTAAGCTGAATGACAGGCTTCTGCGGATTGACTTTGCCCAAGGGTACAGGAGAGGCCAGGACGGCGCTGAGGGCCGGGGCCCTCGCCGCGATGGGGGCGACTGGAACGGCAGGAGCGACAGGGGCGACAGGGGCGACAGGTACAACAGGAGCGGGAGGAACGACCAGGGCGACAGGGACTCCGACGGGTTTGACAGGTACTAAAGCACGATTCTGTGATACGATGCTGGCCACGTGGACCCGGTTGTCGGGGATTTGGGAGAAGCCACATTACTCGGGCGTTGGTCGACGGCAACTGTAATCTATAAACTCATGATGTTTGGGAATGTGTCTGCTTATTTTGGCAGTATGGCTGTGTACAACAAGAACTGAAAATCTCCTTTACATACCGCTTGCTCACCGGGTTGTGGACATGAGAATTAAAATGGCCGGCCTCCACAAAGGGATCCCCCATGGGCAAAAAATGCCGAACCCCAAGTGTAGGTGCCGCCGAAGTCTTCGACTGGAGGGACGAAAAAGAAAGCTATTCGGAATCCAAAGCCGACTTTTTACTCGGGTTCTTTGATTTCTCTCATTTCTTTGCTCTATTTCTTTCTTTTTTTTTTATTTCTTTTATTAAAAAATACTTTTTCTTTTCTTCTCCTTTCTCTTTTCTTGATTTCTTGTCCATTTTTGAAGAGCACATGTTCGGAGTGGGGCGGCATTGGCGGCTCATGGCTCCCGGCCCCAGACCCGGGAATTGGGGGAGGGGCTGCCTCGGCATAACGACCCCAGCAGGGCTTTGTTAACGATTGGCGCCCCAGTGACGACGGGCCCTGGACCTGGAACAGACGCGGCCCAAAACTTCCATCGGCGGCCCGACCTCGACCCCATTCATCCAACTCACCGCACCGGACTGGAGTAACCAACCCCATCCGCCCCCTACAAAAACAATAAAGCAATGGACCGGTGCCTTATTTCTGCCTGACATTGTGTTTATCGCCTGTATTTTGGGCGTTCTATATCCTGCGAAGATCTCTTTCTCTTTGCTACAAGTTTTAACCCTCCTGCATTTGTCAGCCCCTCTTCTCCGTCATTGAGTGACCCCTCCATCGCCGAGGTTGTTGTGTTTTGTTTCTATTTTCGACCTTCCATCTTCCATCTTCCATCTCCGTGACTTCCTGGCTTGCGTCCTCGCATTATCGTATTCTCGCATTACACAGCAACCATGTCTTTTCTTGGGGGCGCCGAGTGCTCAACAGCGGGAAACCCCCTCAGCCAGTTCACGAAGCACGTTCAAGACGACAAGAGTTTGCAGCATGACCGGCTCGTCGGCCGAGGACCCAATGCTGCTGCCAGTGGCTTCAGGAGCGCGGCTCATAATGCTCCTCAGGATGAGGTGCGTCGGAAACAGAATAAGCGGGAAACAAAGTGGCCAACCCGTGCTGACTTCTGCCTTTGTACAGATGATGAACGGCTTCCTTCACCAGTCAGCGGGCCTCCCCGAGATGCCCCTCGAACAGCATGGCCCCATGGGCCAGGTGCATATCGACCAGGGACGTGGCGTCCACCTCCGGGCCCAATCCGGCTCGCCCATGTCCGCGGGCTGGGCTCCTCCCGACACCCAAGCCGCCATGGAAGCCGCTTTCAATGTGCCGCCGGGAACACATTTCAGCCCGGATGAGTTTGCCAAGTTCCAACAAATGAGCGCCTCATCGACCGCCGCCCATGCCAGCCCAATGGCCGGAGCCAGCAGCGGCATGATGGCGCAGCCGCAGCGGCCGATGATGATGGGTGGCATGAGCTACAACAACATGATGTCTCGTCCCATGTTCCAGCCCATGTACGGCCCGCAAATGCAGATGGCGCACCAGCAACCACAACAACAAGAGGCCGAAGGCAAGGGCAAGGGCAAGGTGGTAGAGCTGGATGAGACTAAATGGGAGGAACAATTTCAGCGGATGGAGCTGCATGACCAGCAGCTGCGTGAGGAGAAGGACGAAGCTCTGGCCATGGAGCCTGAGCTGGACAAGATGGACGAGAGGCTGTTGCACTCCGAGACAGGCTACGGCGACCTCGAGTCGATATGGCGTGGCATCCAGGCCGAGCAGGAAGCAATGAAGGATCTCGACGACGTTGAGGAAGACTTCGCCAAATTCGATAGCTCCTATTTTGGCAACGATAACCTCAACGACTGGGGGCTCAGCAACCGCATGGGCGCCGACCCCATCATCCAAGACTATCTCTTCGAGGAGGAGAACCTCTTCCAAGGGCAACCCAGCCCCTTTGACCAGGGTGTGCGCATCATGAACGAAGGCGGCAACCTCTCCCTCGCCGCGCTCGCCTTCGAGGCAGCAGTGCAAAAGGACCCGAACCACGTCGAAGCCTGGGTTTACCTCGGCAGCGCGCAGGCCCAAAATGAGAAGGAAGAGGCCGCCATCCGCGCGCTCGAGCAGGCTCTCAAGCTCGACCCCAACAACCTCCCCGCCCTCATGGCGCTCGCCGTGTCGTATACCAACGAAGGCTACGACAGCACCGCCTACCGCACGCTCGAGCGTTGGCTCTCGGTCAAATACCCCGCCATCATCGCCCCTACCGAGCTTTCCTCCGCCGCAGAAATGGGTTTCACCGACCGCGCCCAGCTCCAACAGCGCATCACCCAGCTCTTCCTAGCAGCGGCGCGCCTGGCACCGGACGGCGACCACATGGACCCGGACGTACAGGTCGGGTTGGGCGTGCTATTCTACGGCGCCGAGCAATACGACAAGGCGGTTGACTGCTTCCAGGCGGCGCTGCACAGCTCCGAGCTCGGCACCTCCAACCAGCAGGAGCAGGTGCACCTACTGTGGAACCGCCTCGGCGCCACGCTCGCTAACTCGGGCCGCTCCGAGGAGGCCATCGCCGCCTATGAGAAGGCGCTCGCCATTCACCCCAACTTTGTGCGCGCACGCTACAACCTCGGCGTGTCATGCATTAACATAGGCTGTCACGCCGAGGCCGCCGGCCACCTGCTCGCGTCGCTGGATATGCACAAATCGGTTGAGACCAGCGGCCGCGAGACGGTCCGCGAGTTGCTCGGCGGGGACGGCCCCGGCGCCGACGCCCGCATCGAGGCCATGACCACCCAGAACCGCAGCACCACCCTCTACGACACCCTACGCAGGGTTTTCACGCAGATGGGGCGGCGGGACCTGGCGGAGAAGGTCGTGGTGGGCGTCGACCCGACCGTGTTCAGGGGGGAGTTTGATTTTTGACGGGGCCGCTGACCCTGGCCTGGCCACTAAACCCTGCGCGGATCCCGCAAACGGCCGCGCCATGAGGAAGGGTTGGTATTTGAATGGGGATGGGAGGGTGTGGGAACGGAGGGTGGTCTTCTGATTGCCTGCTGAGGTTCGCTCACCTTCGTTTCCACTGCTCAGGCTGATGGGCCGAAGGGTTCGGTTATACCGGGCGCCTATATACAGAGCGCGGGAGATAGTTAAATGCTCAATAATATCTGGGGTCAAGAATACAATTGAATCAGGTGGGATGAATGGATATCAACGTGGGAAGATTACTCGCTGTCGGCGGTGAGGCGGGTAACGGGTCTGTACAATACGTTTGGGACCAAATAAGGGCGAATAGAACGTAGCAATCAGCGGTACCAGCGATACAACAAAGCGTTGGGTTGACGACGTGGACATGGTGATATTACACAGCGGAACGAGTCGCTTACTCTTTTCGTGGTGTATATTGTCTCTGAAAACCACAGCAGGGCATCAGCCATGCTAAGTACCTCGGTAGGCCTCAGACCGAGATGTGTATCCTCCCTCCCTGCCAAAAATGCTACGATATCATCTCGAAGCGCTGCCGCCTCTAACTAGCTGAAATAAACCAGGGTTCGAATAGGTAGTTAGGCTAGCATCCTCATGAACGCAGGCTACCCACCAACCCTGGTAACTCAACGCAGTATCCCCCCAACAGCAGCACAGCAGTAGACACCTCCTCCACACTAACCCACATCGTTAACTGATCCTACGCACACCGCACCCTCCTAAACCCCAACCACACCACACCTTCGGGCGCAAGTTATTTATTTCACCCCAATAAACCCGATCCCCGCCCTCGCCGCCCTCACCGCCCGCCGCAGCGCCTGGTCCTCCTTATCCGTCCACTGCACGCTGAGCCGGTCCCAGTTGGAGTCGGGCGCGTTGTACTCGCGCCGGAACTGCGCCTGCACCGCCTGCAGCCGGCCCACCTCGCGCGGGTCGCCCGTGCCGCTGAAGACGATTAGTGCGGTGCAGGGGGGCAGGGCCGAGTGGATGCGCTTGAGGCGCTGGCTAAGCGCGGCGAGGTGCGTTTCGAGGGGGGATGCGGACGCCGTGGTGTCGGTACTTGTGGTCGTGTTGGTTGTGGGCATGTCCGCGGTGGCGGTTTCGGGTTCGGTTTCCTCGGCGCCTGAGTCGGTGGTGTTGGGCTTGTTGCGATTCCACCACCCCTGTAGGGCCTCCAGCTCGCGCATGCGCGCCCATACGAAGTCGACGCCGCCGCCGGGGACTTCGAGGCCGTCGGGATCGCCCTGGACCGCGCGGATGATGCCCGCTTCGACTTCGGCGTCGGACTTGCACGAGATGGTCACCGTGGCGGCGCTGCAGGCGCTCCTAGTGACATCGCCCCAGTCCACGGCAGCGCTGCTCTTGCCCACTGGGAGACCACCCGTGGCTCCGGGCCCGCCGGTGGCGCGGTAGGAGGTGCCAGCGCGGGCGAGCCGCTTGAAGATGTTCTCGCCTTGGACTTCGCCCGCCGCCCAGGCCTTGCCCTTTTCGCACTTCTTCTTGACTAAGTCGAGGCAGGTTTTAGCGTCCTCAATGCTGTCATGCCCATGGATGGTCCCGTCCCCTTTTTGGACCTCGCGGTTGAGGTACTTGAGAGCTAGGAATTTGAGAGAAGACTTGAGCGGCGGGCCGCGGGGATGGGGGAATAGAATGGAGGTGTCGACAATGAAAGGATGGGCGAGTTGCATCGCTTTCAAATCCGAGTCGAGGGAGTGGCCTACGAGGATCGTGCGCGGATGCAAGATATCAAGCAGCCGGGTCTGTATGTCTTTCAGGGTAGTTGTTACGGGGTCGATCATCTCTTTTGTGATGCCCGAGAACTGAGTCACGTAGTTAGTGATGGGCTTGTCGGGCTTGACAAGCTCGTCAAGGACCACCTCGCCATCCCAGGATACCAAGCTTATCCTCGTGAGGGAGTACTCGGCCTCGCCTGTCATGCACATCTCGCAGTCAAGAGCCAAGACCTGGCGGCCCGCGGTGATGCTGCCTTGCTCGACTTCAGCTTCAGGAACATCACCGTCGGAGAGCTCGTTGACTCTGGTATGGACCCAGCCTTCAGGGTCCTTAAAAGATTCCCTTTGCGGCCCCCGGAGCATAGCCGGATGTTTTGGAAAGCCATGTTCCATCAAGTCTTCGGGCGCCGCCAGAAACTCAGTGATCCTCGTCCTCACGTCTTTCCATCCGTGGGGGTCGGAGACGGGCTTCAGACCGCCCTTCTTCTCCTTCAATGGTACTGACAGCATCGACTGTATTGGGGAGTGTAGCTTGGCGTACTTATCATCACCCGGTGCTCTCACTGGCCAAACATGCGGGAACATATCAGCGAACGGCTGCAGTGGTTCGGGCAGGGCATCCTTCTTGAGTGCACGGGGGTAATAATCATCTGGAGATGTAGAAACCCTATCGATCGCTTGATCTGGAGAAAGATCACTGTATGTGTTGAAGTCAACGTTCTCCTTGAACATGGCCTCCTCTAGGCCAGGGACCATGATGGTGACAATCTTTCTAAACTCTGGCCGGTGCTTGACCGAGACCCACTGGGGGGCCGGTCCGTCGGCGAAGATGTACATCACAAGGTCGCGGAGAGATGAGACATTGATTTTGGACTGTAGCCTTGCTTGCTGCGAAAAGTCGATACCGGGGTACCGTTTCGAATCGACGCCGGGGATTTTCTTGTTCTTCTTCACAGGCCGGCCGCGCTCAATGGTCTGCCATCCGTCGTCGTCGTCGGCATCGTGAGGGCTGCGTCTTTTGAGGGTACCCGAAGACTCGGTAGAGGTGCTCGATCGAGGAGGGGCAGTCGGATCAGCTGTGGTATCCCCAGGGGCAACCTGGGGCGGAATTGACAACATCGACGACAGCCTTGTCAGCGCTGCTGGTCGTCGCCGGCGTGGCCATGGCTGCAGCAATGCCGCGACTCGACTTGTTTTTTTTGTTCTTCCCCATGTTGAGAACACAGTAAATATAGCACCCGTGTGCACATCCGCCGTGTGTTGAAAGACTCGATGGATGCACCGCAAAGCTGATTGCGGGTGGTGGATGGAAAAGAAGTTTTGTAGCTTGCTAACTCTGGGATTGGACCAATGTCGAAACTGCAGCCCGCCAAGTCGAGTTCCCGATGCCCCCGCACTAAACCACTTTGGGACAAGAACCTTGATGGCACAACCAGAGCTCCTTCCTGGACATACCAGTCAACATTTAAATCAGATAAACCAAGTCACGGTCAAGTAGGTGCCTCAGGTAATCTGCCTTATTTGGGTACAGGCGAAGGCAAATTATGTGCTGGCAATCGCGAAGAATTGAAGCGTCTTCGCCACCAAATATATCAGACACAAGGTTCCCCAGGCTACACCCCAACATTCAACACGAAACCTACACAGCTTCCAACCATCGTCCACCGCATCATTCAGGTAGTTTAACACTTACACGCCACCTCTTCACAGCCCCACCATGGAAACTATCTTTTGCGAGTGTAAAAAATGTGATGCCGCAATCGGTCGATTCGCCAACCTCTGGACGCAGATTGGTAAAAGCTATTTCAGCCCTGTGATAGAGCCGGAAGACGACCTTGCCGTGCAGTATCTGGACACCGTCCGGATTGGAGAGCAGGACACATTGGTAGCCGAATGGTCAGCCCTCTTGTTCGTCGTATTGATCGTGTTTGGTTCTGTCTGACCCTCTGGTTCAGCCATTTGCAAGATATGCTCTGCAGCGGCTGCGCCGCCCTTCTCGGCCTCAGATGCGTTCAAACACCCGTCAATCATGTGTTGGATCGGTACGCTATACAAGGTGATCCGTCGGATTGGTATTAACTCGGATATACTAGAAACCAGATCCTACTCCGACTAGCCTCTGTAGAGCTGCTCAATGGCGACGGCCAAGAGATCGAGTTTGCTATCAAGCGGGTTTTGGCCGTCAATGAGCCTGCAAAAGAGAACAAGTCAAAAGCCCCAGAGTCACCCCGAGGAGGCTTTACTTCCGCTTTTTCCGGTATCGCTGAGTTACAGCAACTGCAGCTTGATCTCCATAACCAAAGAGAAGACATCAAGAGAATCGACACCAATGGCTTCAGGATAGTCACGGCCCTGGACAAGCGGGCAAACCGCATGCAAGGCGAGGTCGCGAAATTGAGAGGCACTGTACCCAACCTTCAGCGTGCTATTGAGTCGATCCGGCAAGAGTTGGGGACTGTTCTGGTCGATATCAGCAAGGCACAGGCAACAGACCAAAATCCTACAGCTCTTCTTGCCTTCGAAGATCGGCTTGTTCGAGTGACTACTTCTGTCGGTGAAGTCGGGGAACAGGTTGCCACATCCAATGCTCGGTTCGATAAAGAAATCGGCGAACTGAAGTGGAACCTCGGTCAACAAGAACAAGAGTTGGAAAATTTGAGGGGTACAATCAGGGGCTACGCCGAAGACATGGCAAGCCTTCGTGCGGAGGTGGCACATATGGGGCGGCAAGTTGACGAGACCCGCGCACGGGAGACCGAACGATCAGAAACAGCATTTCCGTCCCGTGAGCTTGAAGCCCTTACGGGCACCATTGCCAAAATCAGCAGCCGAGCCAACCAGATCGAGACGTTGCAGATGGAAGTCGAAATACTGAAGGGCAGGGTCGAACGGTCAGAGACGGGCAAACGGGTGTCCGAAGACAGCCGATCCACTCGTATTATTGATTCAAGTATTTCGAAATACTCCGGTGTCTATTCCGCCACGCGGAAACGTGGTATATCCCCGAGTCTCGGACCTGCTCCCAAAAGACCAGCATCCTCACTCGGTTACTCACATGCTCCAAGCCGTCGGCATGCCACGCCCAGTTGGCCGACTATTTCGCCGAGTACCAACGATCAAGGGGTTTTGCCGGAGACCGATGGCACTGGCCGCATACCGGACGCGGCGAAGCGAGGGACGCAGTTGTCACACAGCCGAGTAACAAGCGCGACAAACGGTGTCTCAACTCGTCTCAAAAGTCTCAAAAAGCGGTAGCACATGCAACCGATCTCGCCCCTACCTCTTGACCAGACTCTTCCCACCCAACATTGCTTCCAGCCCCTCGACGGCAAAAGACGAGAGCGTTTTAATGGGCCCAAGCACCTGGCTCTCGAAAAATGCAGCCCCTTCTGGGTCCTCAGGGTCTCTTGCCCATGCTTGAAGAAGTCTCGACTCCTGCTCACGTCCTTGTAGGCTCTCGAGATCCGCCAACATGGCCTTTGCTTCTTTAAGCACCCCCCAGTCCTCCGACGCGCCGATGGACCCGTGGTGAACGACCAAGCGCAACAACGCTTCGCACATGCTGACCTGATCCGCCATGGCCAGGGTGCCCACGAGGCCCTCATGCGTGCACCTGGTCGCAAGTCCCCCGCTTGCGGTGAACTCGCCCGTCACAGCTAGCAGCATCGCGATGGCCATGACGCCCTTGATCCGCCACGGCATAAAGGGCGCCACCAGTTTGATGGGGTCGCATTCAGTACTGGCGAAACAGAGCAACGGCAGCGCATAGACGACCATCTTATGACTGGTTTGCCAGCGCGCCGCCAACTGCGAGATCGTCGTCGGCAACGGCTCCACGGCCCACATTTTAGCCTCGACCAGCGGCCGGCACACCTCCCACCGAGCCTGGGCCAGCCTCAAGTGGTCTTCCTCATTTTTCCCTTCGGGCTCACCCAAAGCCTTCCACTTTTTATAGATGGCCTCAATCTCCTCCTTCGACACCTTCGTCCTGTCGATGGATGGGCTCCGCAGTTGGCCGAA